TGGCCCATTGAAAACCCATACTCTGGTCTTGCCATAGTCAGTAGAAACCCTTGGGGCATATATTCCTACACTAGTTCACACCTTTCTCCCTACCTTCACCCCAGAATTGTACTTTCTTGTAATTTCTGCTCTCCAATGGTCTATCATCTCATGTTAGAAACAAAAGCAAAAACAAAGTGAAAAAAATTGGGGTATTTTATCTAGCATTTTTAGGTGTTTAAACCAAAAGATATTTGTCTTCACACCTAATCTATCATATTGTCAGAAACAGGAGTCCTCATTTGGTTTTTAAAACACTTACCCAAGATATTAGCATGATCTGAGTAAGTGTTAAAATGACTACCCCACCAGACTGTGTACTAAACAATAACGCCTGCCTCTAGCCTGACATCTGAATCATTTCTGTTGCCCTCAGCTACTGCAGAAAGGGGCAGGGACAGAGACAGCCTGTCAGTTGCTTAATGATCTCAGTCAGGCAGAGAATTCAGTACAAGCTAAGTAATAAATACTGAGTCACAAGCACATGCCCTCTAGCAAATGAGGTTCCAGTGTACACGAAGAACCACAATAACTGCTTATTCCCAGTGTTTTTAAATAAATAGGTATCTTGCACCAGCAAGAGCTTTATATTTTATTGTAAGGCAATACAAATAGTATGTAATTCCCCAGGGACCACCATAAAATATTCACTTTTTAAAACCAGTTAGTTCCTGTCCTGTGTTACGAGTTTTCAGGATCAGTCAGTATTTCTTCTCACATAATAAGTTTAGATACAGTCCTTCAGGGAAAGGAATGTATTGCAGTTATAACCTTCAATTAACCATCATATCTTGGTAACAATATTTTCTAGGTCCCCAGGCAAAATAAAGCACAGCTGTTTGAATTAGTATTCTAGTTCTCTTCTTTACTTTCATAAAGGAAACATTCAATATACATAACGATCTTATAAAACGCAGGAAAATGCCAAAGGAAGTCAAGGAAAATTAGCTTGATGCTTGAAGTTTTCTAGCTGTAGAATGTTAGAGAAATCCATGCTGCATAATGCATGACATTTTCTAATTTTAACTAGACAGCTCTGTAGCCATTGCAGAGAATACCTTATATAAAACTGAACCATATGAAATTGACGATATTCTACTATTTTTGACCTTCAAACTTAGAAATTCCATAAGGTTCAACCTAACATTTTATCTTCCTAGTTAAAATTGATTCTTGCTTGTCTGGGAACTATGAAGTTATGACATAATGGAATTGAAGCCACTCTGTGGTGTTATGGAACATAAAAAGGTGATCTGGCAGACATATTAATAAAAAAGAATTTAAATATGCCTACTTTTCATTTAGGACCACCAGCAAAATTGGTATACCAATGGTATCAAATTTTGTTTAGATGTTCACTTTTAACTATGCCTCTGACACTCTGTGGTTCTTTTCATCCATGCAGCATTCTTCTGATTCATTTTTCTCCATTTGTGCTGTCTTTCTCTGTGATGTGAATTCATCCCTATCCATTCTGTCATGCCTCCATTTTTCGCTGCTTCTTCAGATTGCACTGAGCCATAAGAGGTAAGCTCCATCAAAAGAGGGAAAATTGAATTTCCTTTAAGTCCAGGAAGAATCCTTTGTCTAAGGTATTCTATAACCCTGCTCCTAAAATCAATACTTTCTAACTTACACTTTGAAAGGAACTTATAAGGAAAATAATTCCCCATAGCCACGCCCACACTAGACTGCCTTGAATACTCTTCCACACACACTGTGAAGTTGATACTTGTTGCTAAGTATCTTCTACTAGGATTCATAGTTGAGTACTTAGCTTTGTACCGCAGCAGTATCCTCTGTTTTCTGTACAGCAACATACACACTACAATATCCCAGAAATTGGTAGTACTCAGTGCCATCCCAAGTGTGCTTGCACCTACCAGGTTTATGAGGCTTATAATAAGAAGGCAATATTTAAGTCACGCTATGTCATCATCCCTTAATTCGAGCAGTGACATTTCCAAAAGTTACTGGGTTTGATCCAACTTACATGGATCAAATGTATCAGATAATAACCAACCCTCCCTTTAATGTTGTGCTGTATGGTTAATTAATGGGAGTTATTTTGATAATGATCTCAATTCTATTTCCCAACTTAGATTAGGATTTCTTAGGGCCGATAACTGATGATGTCTGGGTTTTATCATAAGAAGCTTTTCAGAGCAGAGAACTAAAATTTCTTTTCATTCAAAACGCCTTGAGCTTCCTAACCAAATAAAAACATATTTTCTAAAGGAGGCAAGCCAATCGACATAGGAAACCTTACATAGCACAATTTGGGTTTTTTATTCATCTTCCGTTAGTCCTCTCAGTGCCATCTAATAGTTAAGAGCAATTAAAAGAAAAAAAACCCCCACCTCTGCCCCATACATTTGAGTTAGGTTAAGTTCTACCCTTGTTCATCATGAAGGAGCCAGGGTTCATAACATAATGCTATTCCAGCAGTGTTGTTTCTGTCTTCCCAAAATAAAGCAATGAATCCCATTGTTTTTTATTGGAAATGTGTCAAAATGTGACAGGCTAAAAATAAATTTGCATCACTCGCCTTGCCCTCCAGACTGGCATTCGTTTTTAGAGATAGATGTTCCAGCCTTTTCCAGATGCAGATTAGCATATCTGAGATGTTTAGTAAAATGAATATTTAATACAAGAAGAGAGTACAGATATTTAGTCGGTATATTATGGCACCACAGTAATGATAGGTTTGATACAGAAAGTCATCTGACCCTTTGCAATCTGAAGGCTTTCTGTCCCTGTGACCTGCTGCCAAGTCTTGGCACCGACGCAGTTGATGATAGTTTCTCATCATCATAGTCCATCTTTTATTAATGATAGAGTCTCACCATTGTGTTTATCTTGTATTTTGCTTTTTCACATAGATTAACTTTGTCATGGCAATACAACATATGCTTTGTAAAATTAAGTCCCAACATAAATAAATTTCTTATTAGAATTCTTGATGGTTTCATTTAAGTTTTAGACAATGAGAAAATGCTTAATGGGCTAACTTACTTGAATCATCCAGGGTATTTGAGATAGTGTGGTACTCCACAGTATGAAGTAGCCAACTCTGCCTGAAGAACGAAGGGATTAAGGAAGGCTTCTTGGAGGAGGTAACTAAACTGAAGCTTAAAGTGGGAATTTGCCACATGGAAAAGGGGCTTAAAGGCTCTGCAAGTCATGGAAACAACACATGGAAACGTATGAGATGTCATATCTGGGAGACTAACCAGTTTGACATAATTGGACCACAGAGCACTTGAGATGGGGATAGAGAGGTGAACCAAATAACGAATGTCAGTTATCTTTATTCATTGATGACTGAGGTAGATTGAACCTATAATATATTTTAAAAGGGAAAATGATGTGATTATACATTTGTGTTTTAGTAAATAACATTATATGACATTATTGTCTCTTTTGTTTTAATTTTTTGGCTGTGCCGCACGGCCTGTGGGATCTTAGTTTGCAACCAGGGATCGAACCTGCACCCACTACATTGGGAGCGCGGAGCCTTAACTACTGGACCGCCAGGGAAGTCCCAATTGTCCCATTTGTAAACAGTGACTTTCTACATGCATTCTAGAAATCATCTTTTCCCAAGGCTTATATGAGTATAAATTAAGACAATGTAGATACCAAAGAGGAACTAGTACAGATCTGGGCATGAGAGAGACCTGAGATTGAATCCTGTGTCGATTTCTTCCCAGCTATATAATAGTGGAAAAATTATATCTCATTTTAAAAAAATATTAAAATGAAGATATTGTTTCACAGGGTTGTTATGATAATTACAATTTATAAAAACTTATTGACACATATTGATATTCTCTGTATATTAGCCCCTATTTTAACATTATGGATCGATGGATTGTTAAGAATGCTGTTGCTTGAATGATGAAAACGGTTTCCATTTGAAAATGTGCTTACTAAGCAACCTATGGTTATTAGGTAACTGAGGTGATAGCTAATATTGTGATGTATATTTTTTTAACTGGCACGAATGAATTTTTGATGTATGTACTTTTTGTGACCTATTGACCTATGGGAAACTTCACACTCCTTCTCTTATTATTATCTTTTTTTTTTTTTTTTTTGGCTTATAAAGAATTCGGTAGATATCTCACTCTTACCAGTTTCTGGGTATCAACTAAAAGCTGTTTCTTTTCTTTTTTCAAGTATGTCTTGACAAGATGGAGCCATATTTTTATTTTCCTGAACAAATGCTCTATTTTTCATTTATCAATTAAGCAGTTTCCTCTTTGTCAAACATTTTCAATTGAAACCATGCCTATTTGAGCAGAATTTGGTCTGTTTATGAAAAACTGGGGAAAGAGACTAACTCAATCTAATTTATTTATTTATTTGTTTGTTTGTCTGTTTTCCATTTCAGGCCCCATTTTATTCTCTGTTTTCTCTCACAGCTCAGCCTAATGTAGTAAGCTCTTCCTTTTCTTACTAGCCAAAACGAGGGAGCAGCTGCACTTGCTTGGAGCTTGTGGATGGTCCTACATAACAAAATCCCTACTGACACCCTTGGTTAACATACGACTAGTTCTAGAAATTGAATACGTGTTTGCATCATGTTAATTTTAGGTTTAAAAAAAGCATCATATTTAAAACTTTCTGATTAAAAATTATTTCACACTTAAATCCCAGCTGTCTCTGAAATATGCAAAGAGTCATGAAATTACTGGATATTCTCCAAAAGGAGAAAACTAAACTCAGAAACCTACTTAAAATGTCTAATTTTTCAATACCCAAATTTGCCTTCATGGATTCATTTCCCAGATTTCCCACTACTATTGTAACCATGCTAACACTACCCTGGGAAATATGGCTAAACTAAGTCAAAATACGGAGACGAAAATAAACTAAGAGTACATAGTCATTCAATTTAAGTTCAACTTCATTGTTTGTTAATCCTACATTACTCTTTCCTTAACAACCCTACTCAGGAAGCGCCTGTAGTAGCCAGAGCAGCGCTGTTCCTGGAATGTGCCCGTTTTGTTTACCGCTGCAACCGTGGCAACTGGCCAGAGTGGATGAAAGGGCATCATGTGAATATCACCAAGAAAGGCCTTTCCAGGGGACGGTCTCCCATTGTGGGCAACAAGCGGAACCAGAAGCTGCAGTGGAACGCTGCCAAGCTCTTCTACCAATGGGGAGACGTGAGCTTTTGATTTTCTTCTGTAAAAATTAGGCTGAGTGAAGTGAAGAAGTTTTGTGTTTATGTTTCTTCATTTGTTTGGGAGACAGTTTACTGAGTATCCGTTATGTACCAGGCACTGAACAGAACATTTCAGGGGAAAATAAGTGTAATTCATTTAATCTTCCCAGTAAATCGACAAAGTTAGACATTATTATCTCTTCTGTCTCTTTTCCTGGTCCTCTGCCTCTTTCCTTCCTATAAATGTAAACATTCTCAGCATCTCTTATAATTTCTTCCTGTATATTCTGCACCAGGATTACATTTATTCCTGTATTTTCAACTGTTAGCTGTATGCTAGGGGCACACACTTCTCTATCCATAGCACTCTTTGGATCCGCGACCGGCATCACCAACTGTACTTTGGAGGCATTCACTCAATGTCCTGAAACTCAGTCTGACCAAAATAAAACCCTTCTCTCCATTTAAACACACCCCCATCTGCAACCCTTCTTGAATTTTCTATTCTTATTGATAGTACCACCATCATCTAAGATGACAGCCTTGAACATATTCCAAACCTTCTTTTCTTATTGATTCCACCTCTTCCATGTCACTGATGCCCTTTTAGGTCAGAACTTCATTACTTCTCATCTATATGACGAAAGTATTTTCCTATTTAGTCTCCTCCCACAATCTCCCCTCATCTGACCCATCCTACACACTGCCAGTAAAATCATCTCCCTTTGGCGTAGCTCATCTAAAAGCAGAACATTCGTACTTATCTTCCAGCCTGCAGACTTGCTCCCTCCAATTCATTCTTCAAACTGCTGTCAGAGTGATTAGGCTAAAATGCAAATCACATTATAGTGCTTCAGTGGCCCTCCTTTTCCCTTGGGATAAAACCCAAATTGCTTAGCCTGGCATTGCTGCTCTCGCCACAACCTTTGTTCAAATCACACCAAGATTATGGATGATCAAGGCAAATGAGCTAATGTATCTAAAGAACATTTATCTCAATGCTCTGCATCTAAGAGGTGTTCAATAATAATGTTATTATATTAATTCTTGCAAGCAGGGTATATGATTTTTCTGTGCATTGTTAGGCAGCTATCACAGTGTTCCTCGAATGAGTGATAAGGTTCTCCCCCACTCAGAAAGTACCTTTCATCCTTCTTCAGAATGCAAAATGAAGTCCAGCTTCATGAACTGTAGGATCTAGTCACAATCTACCTTTCCAAGCCCTCAGGCACATTATTTCCTCTCACAGAATTGTGCTTCAACCAATTGGCTTATTTGTCAGTCTCTGAACATGTCAGTGCATTTCCCTGAATATGGATCTTTTGAAACTCTCCATCCGGAATATCCACTTTTCCCCTTCCCCATTAGCCTACACAGCAATTCTTCAGAATCTACAGGAATGAAACTTTGTGTGATCCTCTGAGATGAATCCGATTTCTCCATATTCCAATAAATAAAGTGCTTTCAGTCTTTTACATGACTGTTATTTTGGTATGTTATTACCACCCCAATAGACTGTAAGCTCCATGAAGTAAAGAGCAAGACACAGAGTCAGATACCCTATTTGACTCCGAGTTCAAGGTTGCTGAGCAACCTAGAGCAAGTCTTTCAACCTAACTTTCCTAAGTGCCAAACAATGATCCTTCTTTATGAAGGTTTGTAATCTACTAGGGCACATTAAACAAAGATACTGATGTACTATAACAATTTATTCAACTTTATTTTTTACTTAATACGTAACAAATTACCTCACCTAATAAATATTTGATGAATGAAAAAGGAATAAACATGTTCCCAAGGCACTTTTCTGGTCTTAGAAGAGACAGAGAGCTCTAAATTATTATTTAGGTATTTAGTATTATCCCAGACAAGTTCATTTTTTGAGCAACCTTTTAAGCTTTATGAACTGTGGGTTTAACTTAAATTGCTTGGTTTCAGCATCCTGGGAGGATCGATGTAGATTTTTTTTTCCCCTGTGAATCTCACTATTAAATCTGCTGGCTCCACTCCAGACTCATAATTCCACATCTCCTTCCTTAGAGAGGATTTCCAAAAGAGTAGCATCAGGACAAGGCTTTTTGTTGAGGTGGTGGTTTTTGCTTTTATGTTTTGTTTTGTTTGCTTAAAACTTCTCAGGTTAGGAGCTAAAATTTTAGGATGCTGTGATATTTTTCTACACTGCTTTCTTTCTCCTTTTTGTTACTCCCCACTTAATTCCAGAGTTTAAGCAGACCCCTTTGTTTTCAGATAGCCAAGACGTTCAAACAACTTGTGTTTTTATTTAAAGTGTTCTGGACATATCTTTGTCAGTTTCCAGTAATGAATCTAATCTCTTGCATGCCCAGAATGTAGTAACTTTTCTAAATATTTGAAAAGGATAATATGGGAAGAAAAAAGAAAAGTAGCTGGAATTTTGTTCGTATTAATGCACAGAGTAACCAAACTGTCAAATTCTATGTTCAGTGTTCATTTTAGCTTTTTGACTCTCTTTCTTAAGCATGCATCTCCTCTTTTGTTGCATACAATTTGTCATTGGAATGTAAAAGGAATTAGATAGAGGTAGCATATTTTGTCTTTTCATTTGGAAAATTCCTTTTGGTAAATCAGACAATAGTACATGATGATTCAGAAGAACAGATAGTAAGTACTGGTTTTATGAATACCTTGTAAGAGCCAGTATTGCCCATGTGCTGACTTACTAAAAATCATATTTCTAATGTTGATGTTGGGTACACTATCAAAAGAATAATATTTCTTTTTCATTCATAGTGTATCATGGAGGGGGGAACAAAGTCTATAAGAAAGCCATTGATTGCATATATGATGACAGATACAAATAAAATTGCAGTTCCAGAATTCATGCCAATCTCCAAGCTCATTAGCATGATAGTGCCTTTCTCATAAAATAGCATAATCAGAAACAGTCTGAAGAACTGTGACTTCTTATTTTTTACTGCAGCAAAATCCTTCATTAGAAACAACTGCAAAACAAAACAAACCAAAAAACCTGACAAACAACAACAACAAAATCAACCGCATACTCCCTTATGTGAAACCTATAAAATAGATGACCTTTGAGGAAATAGAAATATTTTCAGAAAATGTTTTGTATGAGAATAAAAAATGCCATTCCATTTCCTAAAAGTCTTTAGACACAGTGACCTTAGAGATAGCATCAGTGCCTTCCCTCTCTGGGTTCCCACATTGGGAAATGAAACATGGTGGTAACAACACTGTGGCAGACAGAGGAGGCTTATGCTGAAAATCATTCCCATTGATCGGTTGCTGGTGACCTCTGTAATGTGAGAGCCTATTTTACAGTCTGACGTATCTTATGCTGTTTCATTCTTCTTCTCTTCATGGTAGGCAATTGGCGTCCGGTTGAATGAGCTGTGCCATGGGGAAAGTGAGAGCCCAGCCAACCTGCTGGGTCTCATTTATGATGAGGAGACCAAGAGGAGACTGAGAAAGGAGGATGATGAGGAAGACTTTTTAGATGACAGTAAGGAGACTCCCTTTACTACAAGAACCCCTGCTTGTAAGAACCTCTGCTTTAGGAGCACGTAATATTTCTCTTTCCTCTTTCACATTCTTACCACCTTCCCATGTCTCCCACTGCACCTTCTCCCCTATTCCCTCTGCATGGATGTGAGCATGTGCATAAAGCCACACAAAGAGAGAGCAGGAACCAGAAGGAGAAGACTGTAGACAGGGGCAAAGAGTTGGCAATATGGAAAACTCACTGCTTTGAAGTCTCTGACTCTTAATATTGTAAATACGAAGATCAGTTTTAGGCCTACTTGAGAAAACATAGTTGTGCTGCCCCAGAAGAGGGCTGGTCAGGGTTTGTATTTTATTACTGCTCTTGGAGTTTTAAAAAAGGGTTAGACCTGAGGGAGACCTTCAAGATGGCGGAGGAGTAAGACGTAGAGATCACCTTCCTCCCCACAAATACATCAGAAATACATCTACATGTGGAGCAACTCCTGTAGAACACCTACTGAACGCTGGCAGAAGACCTCATACCTCCCAAAAGGCAAGAAACTCCCCACATACCTGGGTAGGGCAGAAAAAAAAAGAAAAAAGAGAGACAAAAGAATAGGGATGGGACCTGCCCCTCTGGGAGGGATCTGTGAAGGAGGAAAAGTTTCCACACACTAGGAAGCCCCTTCACTGGTGGAGGTAGGGGTGGGCGGGGGGGAAGCTTCAGACCCACAGAGGAGAGCGCAGCAACAGGGGTGCAGAGGGCAAAGCAGAGAGATTCCTCCACAGAGGATCAGTGCCGACCAGCACTCACCAGCCTGAGAGGTTTGTCTGCTCACCCGCTGGTACGGGTGGGAGCTGGGAGCTGAGGCTTGGGTTTTGGAGGCCAGATCCGAGGGAGAGGACTGGGGTTGGCTGTGTGAACACAGCCTGAAGGGGGCTAGTGCGCCACGGCTAGCCGGGAGGGAGTCTGGGAAAAAGTCTGGAACTGCCTAAGAAACAAGACACCATTGTTTTGGGGTGCGCGAGGAGAGGGGATTCAGAGCACCGCCTAAATGAGCTCCAGAGACAGGCGTGAGCCATGGCTATCAGCGCAGACCCCAGACAGGCATGAAACACTAACGCTGCTGCTGCAGCCACCAAGAAGCCTGTGTGCAAGCATAGGTCACTATCCACATCTCCCCTCCTGGGAGCCTGTACAGCCCACCCCTGCCAGGGTCCTGTGATACAGGGACAACTTCCCTGGGAGAACATACGGTGTGCCTCAGGCTGTTGCAACGTCATATCAGCCTCTGCCGCTGCAGGCTCACCCTGCATTCCATACCCCTCCCTCCCCCTTGCCTGAGTGAGCCAGAGCCCCATAATCAGCTGGTACATTAACCCCGTCCTGTCTGAGCGAAGAACAGTTGCCCTCAGGCAAGCTACACGCAGAGGCAGGGTCAAATCCAAAGCTGAACCCCAGGAGCTGTGCGAACAAAGAAGAGAAAGGGAAATTTCTCTGTGCAGCCTCAGGAGCAGTGAATTAAATCTCCACAATCAACTTGATGTATGTTGCAACTCTGAAATACCTGAATAAAGTTCAGGACATTGGTCCACAAGAGACCTCCCGGCTCCACATAATATCAAACAGTGAAAGTTCTCCCAGAGGTCTCCATCTAAATGCGAAGACCCAACTCCACTCAACAACCAGCAAGCTATGGTGCTGGACCCCATATGCCAAACAACTAGCAAGACAGGAACACAACCCCACCCATTAGCAGAGAGTCTGCCTTAATCATAATAAGGTCTCAGACACCCCAAAACAAACCACTGGACACAGACCTGCCCACCAGAAAGACAAGATGCAGCATCATCCAACAGAACAGAGGCCCTAGCCCCTCCACCAGGAAGCCTACACAACACAGTGAAGCAACCTTAGGCAATGGGGGCAGACACCAAAAATAACGAGAAATATGAACCTGCAGCCTGTGAAAAGGAGACCCCAAACACAGTAAGTTAGGCAAAATGAGAAGACAGAGAAACACACAGCAGATGAAGGAGCAAGGTAAAAACCCACCAGACCAAAAAAAAAAAGAAGAGGAAATAGACAGTCTACCTGAAAAAGAATTCAGAGTAATGATAGTAAAGGTGATCCAGAATCTTGGAAATAGAATGGAGAAAATACAAGAAACGTTTAACAAGGAACTAGAAGAACTAAAGATGAAACAAACAATGATGAACAACACAATAAATGAATTAAAAATTCTCTAGAAGGAATCAATAGCAGAATAACTGAAGCAGAAGAATGGATAAGTGAACTGGAAGATAAAATAGTGGAAATAACTACTGCAGGGCAGAATAAAGATAAAAGAATGAAAAGAATTGAGGACAGTCTCAGAGACCTCTGGGACAACATTAAATGCAACAACATTCGAATTATAGAGGTCACAGAAGAAGAGAAACAGAAAGGGACTGAGAAAATATTTGAAGAAATTATAGTTGAAAACTTCCACAATATGGGAAAGAAAATAGTCACTCAAGTCCAGGAAGTGCAGAGAGTCCCATACAGGATAAATCCAAGGAGAAACATGCCAAGACACATATTAACCAAACTATCAAAAATTAAATACAAAGAAAACATTAAAAGCAGCAAGGGAAAAACAACAAACTACATACAAGGGAATCCCCATAAGGTTAACAGCTGATCTTTCAGCAGAAACTCTGCAAGCCAGAAGGGAGTGGCAGGACATATTTATTGTGATGAAAGGAAAAAAACCTACAGCCAAGATTACTCTACCCAGCAAGGATCTCATTCAGTTTCGACAGAGAAATTAAAACCTTTACAGACAAGAAAAGCTAAGAGAATGTAGCACCACCAAACCAGCTTTACAACAAATGCTAAAGGAACTTTTCTAGGCTGGAAACACAAGAGAAGGAAAAGACCTACAATAAGAAATGCAAAATAATTAAGAAAATTATATTAGGAACATACATATTGATAACTACCTTAAATGTAAATGGATTAAATTCTCCAACCGAAAGATTCAGACTGGCTGAATGGATACAAAAACAAGACCTGTATATATGCTGTCTACAAGAGACCCACTTCAGACCTAGGGACACATACAGACTGAAAGTGAGGGGATGGAAAAAGGTATTCCATGCAACTGGAAATCAAAAGAAAGCTGGAGGAGCAATTCTCATATGAGACAAAATAGACTTTAAAATAAAGACTATTACAAAAGACAAAGGAGGACACTACGTAATGATCAAGGGATCAATCCAAGAAGAAGATATAACAATTGTAAATACTTATGCACCCAAAATATGAGCACCTCAATACATAAGGCAAATGCTAACAGCCATCAAAAGGGGAAACTGACAGTAACATAATCATATTAAGGGACTTTAACACCCCATTTTCACCAATGGACGGATCATCCAAAATGAAAATAAGTAAGGAAAAACAAGCTTTAAATGATACATTAAACAAGATGGACTTAATTGATATTTATAGGACATTCCATCCAAAAACAACAGAATACACTTTCTTCTCAAGTACTTATGGAACGTTCTCCAGGATAGATCATATCTTGGATCACAAAGCAAGCCTTGGTAAACATAAGAAAACTGAAATCGTATCACATATCTTTTCCGACCACAACACTGTGAGACTAGATGTCAATTACAGGAAAAAATCTGTAAAAAATACAAACACATGGAGGCTAAACAATACACTGAAGAAGATCACTGAAGAAATCAAAGAGGAAATCAAAAAATACGTAGAAGCAAATGACAATGAAAACTTGATGACCCAAAGCCTATGGGATGCAGCAAAAGCAGTTCTAAGAGGGAGGTTTATAGTAATACAGTCTTACTTCAAGAAACAGAAAACATCTCACATAAACAACCTAACCTTACACTTAAGCAATTAGAGAAAGAAGAGCAAAAAACCCCCAAAGTTAGCAGAAGGAAAGAAATCATAAAGATCAGATCAGAAATAAATGAAGGAAATGATAGCAAAGATCAATAAAACTAAAAGCTGGTTCTTTGAGAAGATAAACAAAACTGATAAACCATTAGCCAGATTCATCAAGAAAAAAGGGAGAAGACTCAAATTCATACAGAATTAGAAATGAAAAAGGAGAAGTAACAACTGACACTGCAGAAATACAAAGGATCATGAGAGATTACTACAAGCAACGATATGCCAATAAAATGGACAACCTGGAAGAAATGGACAAATTCTTAGAAAAGCACAACCTTCCATGACTGAAGCAGGAAGAAATAGAAAATATAAACAGACCAATCACAAGCACTGAAATTGAGACTCTGATTAAAAATCTTCCAAGAAACAAAAGCCCAGGATCAGATGGCTTGTCAGGCGAATTCTGTCAAACATTTAGAGAAGCGATAATACCTATTCTTCTCAAACTCTTCCAAAATATAGCAAAGGGAGAAACACTCCCAAACTCATTCAATGAGGCCACCATCACCCTGATACCAAAACCAGACAAAGATGTCACAAAGAAAACTACAGACCAATATCTCTGATGAACATAGATGCAAAAATCCTCAACAAAATACTAGCAAACAGAATCCAACAGCACATTAAAACGATAATACACCATGATCAAGTGGGGTTTATCCCAGGAATGCAAGGATTCTTCAATATACTCAAATCAATTAATGTGATAAACCATATTAACAACTTGAAGGAGAAAAACCAGATGATAATCTCAATAGATGCAGAAAAAGCTTTCAACAAAATTCAACACCCGTTTATGATAAAAACCCTCCAGAAAGTAGGCATAGAGGAAACTTAACTCAATATAATAAAGGCCATAAATAACAAACCCACTGTCAACATCATTCTCACTGGTGAAAAACTGAAACAATTTCCTGTAAGATCAGGAACAAGACAAGGTTGTCCACTCTTACCACTATTATTCAACATCATTTAGGAAGTTTTAGCCACAGCAATCAGAGAAGAAGAAGAAATAAAAGGAATCCAAATCAGAAAAGAAGAAGTAAAGCTGTCACTGTTTGCAGATGACATGATACTATACATAGAGAATCCTAAAGATGCCAACAGAAAACTGCTAGAACTAATCAAGGAATTTGGTAAACTAGCAGCAAACAAAATTAATGCACAGAAATGTCTTGCATTCCTGTACACTAATGATGAAAAATCTGAAAGAGAAATGAAGCAAACACTCCCATTTACCACTGCAACTAATAGAATAAAATATCTAAGAATAAACCTACCTAAGGAGACCAAAGACCTGTATGCAGAGAACTATAAGGCACTGATGAAAGAAATTAAAAATGATACCAACAGATGGAGCGATATACCATGTTCTTGGATTGGAAGAATCAACATTTTGAAAATGATTATACTACCCAAAGCAATCTACAGATTCAAGGCAATCCCTGTCCAACTACCAATGGCATTCTTCACAGAATTAGAACAAAAAATTTTACAATTCGTATGGAAACACAAAAGACCCCGAATAGCCAAAGCAACCTTGAGAGAGAAAAACGGAGTTGGAAGAATCAGGCTCCCTGACTTCAAACTATACCACAAAGCTACAGTAATCAAGACAGCATGGTACTGGCACAAAAACAGAAATATAGATCAATGGTACAGGATAGAATGCCTAGAGATAAACCCACGCACATATTGTCATCTAATTTATGACAAGGGAGGCAAGAACATACTGCAGAGAAAGGACAGCCTCGTCAATAAGTGGTGCTGGGGAAACTGGACAGCTACATTTAAAAGAATGAAATTGGAATACTCTGTAACACCATACACAAAAGTAAACTCAAAATGGATGAAAGACCTAAATGTAAGGCCAGACACTATCAAACTCTTAGAGGATAATTTAGGCAGAACACTCTATGATATAAATCACAGCAAGATCCTTTTTGACCCACCTCCTAGAGAAATGGAAATAAAAACAAAAATAAATGGGACCTCATGAAACTTAAAAGCTTTTGCACAGCAAAGGAAACCATGAAGAAGATGAAAAGACAACCCTCATAATGGGAGAAAATATTTGCAAATGAAGCAACTGACAAAGGGCTAATCTCCAAAATTTAGAAACAGCTCATGCAGCTCTATATCCAAAAAACAAACAACTGTATCCAAAAATGGGCAGAGGACCTAAACAGACATTTCTCCAGAGAAGATATACAGATTGCCAGCAAACATATGAAAGGATGCTCAACATCACTAATCATTAGAGAAAGGCAAATCAAAACTACAATGAGGTATCACCTTATACAAGTCAGAATGGCCTCATCAAAAAATCTATGGACAATAAATGCTGGAGAGGGTGTGGGGAAAAGGGAACCCTCTTGCACTGTTGGTGGGAATGTAAATTGATACAACCAGTATAGAGAACAATATGGAGGTTCCTTAAAAAACTAAAAATAGAACTACTATAGGACCCAGCAATGCCACTACGGGGCATATATCCTGAGAAAACCATAATTCCAAAAGAGTCATGTACGACAGTGTTCATTGCAGCTCTATTTACAATAACCAGGACATGGAAGCAACCTAAGTGTCCATCAACAGATGAATGGATAAAGAAGATGTGGCACATATATACAATGGAATAGTACTCAGCCATAAAAAGAAACGAAATTGAGTTATTTGTAGTGAGGTGGATGGACCTGAAGTCTATCATACAGAGTGAAGTAAGTCAGAAAGAGAAAAACAAATACCATATGTTAACACATATATATGGAATCTAAAAAAAAAAAAAAAAATTCTGAAGAACCTGGGGCAGGATAGGAATAAATACACAGACGTAGAGAATGGACTTGAGGTCACGGGGTGGGGGGAAGTGTAAACTGGTATGAAGTGAGAGAGTGGCATGGACATATATACACTACCAAATGTTAAACAGATAGCTAGTGGGAAGCAGCCTCATGGCACAGGAAGATCAGCTCGGTGCTTTGTGACCACCTAGAGGTGTGGGATAGGGAGGGTGGGAGGGAGACACAAGAGGGAGGAGATATGGGGATATATGTATATGTATAGCTGATTCACTTTGTTATAAAGCAGAAACTAACACACCATTGTAAAGCAATTATACTCCAATAAAGATGTTAAAATAAATAAATAAGTAAATAAATAAATGTTAAAAAGTGGTAGAGCAAATAAAATTAAACGTTAAAAACTTCTCAGATAGCTAAAATATTTAATCAGAGTATATTATAATATTTAACATGAAATTAAAATATTAAGATTCAGATTATTAGAACTGTGAATGTTTGATGTATTGTACTTATTTATTAAAAGTGTAATTGAGTCCCATCATAGACGAATAGAAACGAAGAGATTCCTGAACTCCTTCTCAGCACCATTTTGTGCATATGTGTGTTCTATACCATATAAGCTTGTGTGTATGTGTACCACTGCCTTTTATGGAATATCAAATGTCAGGACAGTTTTGGAATTAATATTATCTGATGAAGACATTGAAGCCTCTACCTTTTGACCTTTCTTAGTGGTTTCAAGTTCAGACTCCCTGATGATGTCTTATGGATTGTCCTTAGTTAAGTGATGCCAAACCTACTTCATCCTTATAGGCATGAAATGTAAAAGGATGGCTAGAATATAACGTTGGACAGAACTATATAATAATAACAGAAAACATATTGTCTTCTTTTCCACTTTCATACCAGTAATATTTTTTTTGCATTTTTTCATCATTTTGCTCTTCCTCAGCCCATATCAAATCAGAGAAATCTTGACTTAGCTGTTGACAAAATACCAAATTCTGACATTAGTCTTTTAGCGTAATGATGGAAGTTGGCCCCAAAGATTCCCTCAAGTTCATAAGAGTCTAGGCTATCCTAGAATGACTCATAGTATTGGGTCTGATTTGTAAGAGGACTTGAAGATTATCCAGAAATCACAGAACCTAGTTTAAGCCTGCCAGGAGATATCCCCAAACTGCCCTGGATCTCCTTGGGGTCCTTCAGAACAGAGAAGAGCCAAAGCAACCTTAGATGGATGTATCTTGATAGGCCAAAATGATCTCAAATCTCCATGAGACCACATAAGTATCATTGGCCAATATGATATGATGGTATATTAGTTTTTTGGTGAGGTTATTTATAAGTCAATACTTGTTCATTATAACAGAATATTTCAGATGATAGTTATGAGAGAGGCTGGACTAAAACCAAGCTCATCGTCTATAGGACTGACCAGAAGAATCTAAATGATATCCTCAGGATTGCAAGGACAGATCTAGAAGTTTATACTAAATATCTAGTGTTCATTTATTTTTTAAAAACAGTTGCAATGTAGGCAATTTCTAGAGTCATGTGGCCTCCACTGAATATAAGATTGGAATGTCTGCTTTAGTTCCACTTTCAAGTCAATACATAGCTCATTTTGCATTTAAAAAATAATTATGGTATAAGTAAGTATCAGTCTGGAAATTCTAGAGGAGTTTGTTGTTTTCATTCTTAATAAGAGGCAATGTTCCCAGCCACATAGTACCTCTGTAGAAAATATAATGGTTTTCATGGAGAAGAAATAGCCAGATATCTTCAGAAAGACCATAATTCTACCTACTATCAATATAAACCATGAATTATATATTATATTCAATTAAGAAAGCCAAATACACAGGAAGTATTTTAGAGATATTTTTAGGAAGGTTAATATGTAATGATATAATGTTTGGTGATAAGTTGAGTCATTGAAAATAGATAACTATTTTGTTTCTTTTATGAGAGGCATGACTTTGGTCTTCTTTTCTGAACACTGATAAGTAGTCAATATATTTCTCCATGATTTGTGATGTCGTGTATCTGAGACCTATACCTGAGGATTTAAAAGTCTCTGGTGTCACCTTGGCCATTATCTGCCTTTAGAGCAAAATCCATTTGTTGGTCTATGGTGGATGCAATGTTTTACTTATTCAAAGACTGGTGTTCTTCAAAGCAAAGGAGAATATTTGCGTATTCTAGTGTAGCTGTTCCTTAATATGACAGGCTAACTTGTATAAACAGTATAATAGAGGTGACCAAGTAAGTAATCCTAGTTTATGCTACAGAAACACATCTGGGCTAAAGCTGAAACAACTTCACTGCTCTAAGAACATCAAGACAGACGTCTCTCACAAAGTGAGCTGACAGGATTTTTGTAGTTCCAAATCTAGTTCATGGCTCTGTACCTTGTCTAAATCTGATTGAATAACGATATGAAAATCTGGCAGGACTGCTTTCTGTTTCTGTTTTAATTAAAAGGCTTTCCAGTCTAGTGGAGCTGCATTTTGTTACTCTATGATGCCTTGAGGAGAATAATTTAATTCTTATTGATTGACATTTTAATACTGAGGCATTCATTATAGAATTGCAAAATGGAGAAAAAGAGAGGTGTATTGTAATGCATAGATTATTCTAAAGGGACCAGGTAAATTGAACGTGTATAGGAAACATCCTCATTTGCAGTTTCATTTTGGACATGTATAGGTAACATTCTCATATGCAATTTGATTTTACACATGTGTAGCTGTGTCCATCAAACTGTGCCTCTCTATTTTTTATTGGTTTGTTTGCTTGTAAAAGAACTCTTTCATTCCATAGGTACTGTGAACCCCTCTAAATGTGGCTGCCCCTTTGCCTTGAAGATGGCAGCATGCCAGCTTCTCCTGGAGATTACCACCTTCCTGCGAGAGACCTTTTCTTGCCTGCCCAGACCACGCACTGAGCCTCTGATGGTACGTAAAACGTATTAATAATGAGGCTACTTGGAGAGTCCAACCATGTGGCTAGACTTTGAGTATTCACAGTTTCCTCAAATACCAAATGACCAAATGTATCACATAGTTTAAAAATTCAACCAAGGGATTTTCATATATAAAAAGAAAATCTCTTTTATCTATTAAAAAAAAGAACTAAAATTGACCTTGAAATCACTAAAGATGGTACCACTGGATAAGATGTTTGATTGATCACTGTCAGTTAACCTAGGAATGCCTGAGAACCTCCAGGTTCCTGTACTCTGCAAACTACGAGTTTAATGGCCAGCATTTTCCAGGAATCACTGATAGATTTTTTTTTCATACTAACAACTCATAAATTCATGTGCCTCCAATGAATTTTCTCATTCAAACTAAGGGCGAAAAGACTCAAGTCTTTAGCATGTAAATGCCTCTGAACATGTATTTTATTTCTGCAGTATTTCTTGTGGATACAGATAGGCAGAGAAAGAACATGTGTGCATGCACACACGCACGCGCGCATGGAAACACACAGACACACACAGGCACACACACATACACACACACCCCTGTACCATCAGGGTCTGATTTATTTAACTTAGGATACAAATTCTAACAAGAGCCAGGAGTCGTCACAGAGCATTTGGGACAGAGGCACACCTCAGAGCCCATTTTTCTTGGCCCTTTGTTCCCTTAACAGGCACCAAGTTTCCGGTGGTTTTTTTGTCATAGACATTATCCAACTAGAGCTGAGGAACCAAATTCTCTTCTTTCCCCCTTTACACAGATTTACACTATTCAACCAGACAGTTGGTACACTAACAATCTGTGTGGTTCCATTTAGGTGAATTTTACAATCCACCAGCTCTCCTGCTTTTTTGACCAAACTCAGCACGAACAAGGCCATAACCTAGTTCCAGAGGGCAGGTAGGGGAGGGAACGGGACAAAAAAGTCAGTGCTCTGGTATTCCTGAGCAGTGCCTCTAACTCTGATTTTCCAATGTCTGGACAGCCTGTTTCCTCACACTCTAAAACATAAAATGGAAATATTTATAGGTAAAATATGTTTTCAAGAGAAACATACCGACATGTGGCCTGTGAAACTGCACCCTTTAAATACTGAAAAAGAGAGTTCTTCTTACTGCCCTTACTTAATTTCATGTTATCCTGAACATTGATTTTTCTGAATTGTCACCTTTACTATCATATTGAGACTATTCTATAAAATCAAATCAAGGCTGCCACTTAACACGTGTTTATTTTAAAGTCCAGTCTGATCTGTAGGCCTCTGTCGGTGTCATTTATCAACATTCTAATTGTATCAAAGTCTTCATAAAAGCACAGAAACACATCTACTTTTAAATTTACAGATTTTTAACGGTCACCATTTTGACCTATTATGATTTTAAAACATAAGAATCTTGAAATTTGAGTCACTTATTTTTGTTCTTTCTTTCATCACTATAAAGCTATAGTTTAAATATTCCTTATTATTGTAACACATTTCATTTTTTAAGAAAATTAATCAAGTCTTTTAAAAATGACTGTATAATCAACTGGCTATCTAGGAGAAAATGCCAAGAAATTAAACTAAAACAGAGGCTGCAGTCATTCAGTTAGTAAGAGGAAATTTTTCATTGCCTTTAACTTGGTCTCACAAATCTTTTATTCACTAAGCTAGGATTTTCATTGTCAAGTATAGGTTCATATATTGTATTGGGATGTGACCTTTATAAAATAAATGGGAAAGATGCTTTCTCATGTTTAACCTATCTAACTACAGTTGATGATAAAGAAAACTCAAATCACATTTTTTAAACTATTGTAGAAAAAACAGTATCATAAAACTTTTACCAACACAGAAACTATAAATGCTTGAAATATTTTTTTAAGAAATTGTACTAAATGGTGAATCTAAGAGGCTAAGCATAAATACCATCAAAATGAAATATTCTAAAGTTTTAACAAAGCACTTGCTGTAAGAGTATTTATAGATCTTTGGGATGTTTTATTCAGTAACATTTTTAACAGCAGTAAAAATAAATAGCTACCCTAATGTACAGAAGAATAAAAGTATAAGCCAGAAAAATCACATTAGAAGCTATAAATATCCTGGGATCTGAGATTTGAGGATGGGAGAAGATAGGGAACATAAACTTTCTACCAAGAAAAAGTCTTTCTGATAGAAATGTCATAAGGCCATTTCCAAGATAAAAGAGATTTCCCTGTGAAATATTTGTTTGCTTGAAAAAGTCCTAGTTATGGGCTTCCCTGGTGGCGCAGTGGTTGAGAGTCCGCCTGCCGGTGCAGGGGACACGGGTTCGTGCCCCGGTCTGGGAAGATCCCACGTGCCGCGGAGCGGCTGGGCCCGTGAGCCATGGCCGCTGAGCCTGCGCGTCCGGAGCCTGTGCTCCGCAACGGGAGAGGCCACAACAGTGAGAGGCCCCCGCCGTACCGCAAAAAAAAAAAAAAAGTCCTAGTTATATCCAAAGTGTGGAAGAGAAAGCAAAAGAGCCTAAAATACAATAACTAAAGGTTAATTTGATAGGGTCAGGAAATCGCAGGAGACCACTCACTGGTTTGGTGGGGAATGACGGTAAGAGAAAAGGAAAAATGATATCAGAAGGGTTTAAAATGTTGCTAAAACCATATTTTTACCAACTTAACAAATTATTTCCCAGATAGATCCCTGGAGGCAACTTAATGTGTTTTCCCCCCCAAAAAAACAACTTCTGGTAGCATTTTTATTCACTCTTTTTGTGAACCATACAAATAATATCTAAAAAAGGAAAAAGCCTTTTTACAATATTTATCATAAAAAGCATAGCAATCAATTTTTCTCTGATTGTTAACTTCCAAACTTGAAAACAAAGAAATATTTTTTAGAGAATTTTGTCTATAAAACTGCTGGTCTGTTAAAATGTTCTCCTGTTGAATTAGTAAAACCAATAACTGATGACCAAGCAACATGGAATTAAATTAATTCCCATCCAACGCCAAGAGGAGTCCATAATAATACAGTAAAAGGCAGTAAGGAAGTCTCTGTACATCTATATTCACTCATTAGGGAAAACAACATATTGGATGCTTTTGTACAAGATTGTGCTAGAAGCTGTACCAACTGTATCAACTGGATTTAACAAGTCAGGTTATAAATAATACACTGCTGGATTCCAAATGCTCCTAAAGTTAAAGAATCAGAAGCAAAGCACAGTTCACATATATGAAGAGTAGATTGATGAATATTTGAGAGTAAGGCTGTGAGCAAGGTGGTGTGATGGATGCAGAGGTGGGAGTGGGGGTGATGCAGAGATGACTGTGTTGTAACAGGAGAACCGACACGTAAACAACACACTTAAGAAAGGAGCAGAAGGCCAGGGTTGGCCAAAGAAGGGACCGGAAAAATCTGAAGAGCCTTCCTGGATGAGATCACATTTGAATGTAACTTTGAAAGATAAGTAGGATTTTGACTAGTAGATACAAGAAGTTGGAAGAGAGAACTACTTTTGATAATCAGAATTGTTATTTTATTACTTTTTGTTCCACCTAAGAAACTTATCTAATTAAATTTGGCTACCAAAATGGAAAGTAGTTAGGTTATTTTTTTTCCTAAAAGGGATTAATTTCAGAGAAACAATTATATTCCTAGAATATTTTTTGACAGTGTTAAATAGACTCCATGTGGTTCCTTATTTTTCTAGATGTGATATAATTTTCTGAGTACCAAAGTATAACTTCTGTTCTTAATTCAAAGGGAAAAGAAGAAACGATATGTAGAGTCTAAAGTTTCATTTATTAATAATAGTTAAAAGCATAAGATTTTAATCTTGGTACAAACTGGGTTTTTCAAAATAGTTTTTGTTTTTCAAACTACTTGAATCTGAGGGATTATTATGTCATAATTAGAAAAAATGCTGTATAAAAATAAAGTTAGCATTTTATATTTTTTTCATTTATCAAGTCTGAAAGCGCTTCATAGATTAGTGATTAATTATGATCTTCAGCGTGAGCGGGTCTCCATTTACAGAACAGGTCAAATGTCCACACTGGGGCCTCACAGGCCAAACTCCTACTAAATATTTAAACTCCCCAAGGCTTATTTTCAGTTTTGGGATCATGAAGTCTCCTAAGAGAGAGTGAGAGATTCCTCCAACGCATGATCCTGTTTTAAACCTCTGGCCATTACCCCTGAGGTTTCTTAAGAGGAAACCAAACTGGTTTCCCTACCAGTTTGCAGAGCTAACTTTACTTAATCCTAAGGATTTAACTCCAACATCACCTTGGTATTTGTTTTCTACTTCTGTTGTGTGATATTGTGATTTATGATAAGAATATATGTTTGGTCTCCATCCCTGTTTCTGGCACAGTGCTCCTAAAATCCTTGGAATTTCTTAAGTCGGGAGGGTGACCAAGGTGTCTTTTGTTATGTTAAGAGGTGACTTGTAGAATGCCTCTAGATTACCTAAGGTTCAGCTGGTCACCAGATGAATCAACCAAATAATTAGAAAATTGAAACTTTCAGTCCCACCCCCTCACCTCCAGGTGACAACGATTTTATATCAATCATGCCTATGTAATGAAGCCTCCATAAAGACCCAAAAGAACAGGGTTTGGAGAGCTTCTGGTTGGTGAACACGTGAAGACTGGGGAGTGTGCTGCCCTTGAAGAGGGCATGGAAGCTTGGCACCATCACCCCATACCTTGGTGTGTGCATTTCTTCCATCTAGCTGTTGCTGATTATATCCTTTTATGATAAACCAGTGATCTAGTAAGCAAAATATTTCTCGAGTTCTATGAGCCCCCCTAGCAAATTAATTGAACCTGAGGAGGGGTGTTGTTGGAACCTTCAATTTATAACCAGTTGGTTAGAAGCACAGGTGACCACTTGGCCTTACAACTGATGTCTGAAGTGGGGACAGTCTTGTGAGACTGAATCCTTAACCTGTGGATTAAGGAAAACATTTTCATGACCCCAGTCTAAACCTGGCATTAGATAGAGGGAAATTTGGCTGTTTAAATGCTGTTGTGCGCAGCTTAAAATGGAGGGAGGGGGCTTCCCTGGTGGCGCGGTGGTTGAGAGTCCGCCTGCCGATGCAGGGGACACGGGTTCGTGCTCCGGTCCAGGAGTATCCCACATGCCGTGGAGCGGCTGGGCCCGTGAGCCATGGCCGCTGGGCCTGCGCGTCCGGAGCCTGTGCTCCGCGACGGGAGGAGCCACAACAGTGAGAGGCCCGTGTACCGCAAAAAAAAAAAAAAAAAAAAAAAAAAGAAAAAAAATGGAGGGAGGTTTGCCGGAAAACGAATGCAGTGCTGGGGAGATGCCACCATCCATGTGCTCCTCACTGACATTTCAGGACTTGGAGAGCTGCCGACTTCGTTTGGATCCTGAGTTGGACCGGCACAGATATGAGAGGAAGATCAGCTTTGCTGGTGTCCTGGATGAAAATGAAGACTCAAAAGATTCCCTTCACAGTAGTAGCCACACCCTCAAATCAGATGCAGGTGTTGAGGAGAAGAAAGGTATGCATAAGCAAAAATTAATTCACGTTTCAGGGTTTCTCATGGGATATTTGGTCTCGGGTCTAAACTGCAGAATTGTGCACTGAAAGAAGTCCAAAACTGTTGTTGACTCAATGAGGTAGGCAATCATGCTAGTTAGGAGTTGGACTCTGCAGTCAGAGAGACTCTAATTCCGGCTCAGCAATTCTCCGTATCCCGTTGAATCTAAGATGGCATTAGTTGTAAGATGAACCATTATCTTATATACCAATAAGAAAGGAAAAATACTCCCCATTCAGCTCTTATGCAGTACTTTCTTATCACTTAATTTGTGCTTTATTCTTACTGAAAGAGGACTTTCAGATGTAATTAGATGTAGATTTTTATTATCGGTCTATATCATTCTTTGCGCAGCCAGGTAAACTGGTTAAAGGTTTTCTAAACCATCTTCAATTCAGCGATCAAATTCTTAATCGCTTTTCAACTCAGAATTGTCAGTGTCTGTGTTTTTATATGTGATAATGTCCTCTGTGTTAGTAACACATCATTTCTTAAATGAATCTGTAAAAGAAGTAAAGCTATTGGTGATAGTTACACAAGCCAACGTGCAACTGTATGAAGCTAGCCTACTTCAGTCTCTGCTTCAGGAATGTTCCCAAACACATCTGACTTACCATCCCACCCACTCCTCCACCCAACTATCATTTGGTTCCTGGAACTTAAAAGACACTGGCACCCATTTTGTACATTTTGTTGCTGGTGCTTTAGATATTCACATGAACACAAGCAATAGCAAATGTGTCCCAACTGCCACCTGGCTCTAGTGATCTTAAGATGTCATCAGTTGTAAGCCAAATCTCAATTTCAGAGATGTTCAAATGTAAAAAAATGTGCACTTAAAATGGTGAAATAAAGTAGTTATGTGGCTTTGTCCAAGTTGCTTACCTTCTAAGCCAGTTTTCTTCCCTGTAAAATTAGATTAATAACACCTACCACATTGGAATGTTGAAAGCTTTAAAAGAGACATTGCAAGTAAAACATAAACTCAGTACCAGACACCTAATAAGGACACAATAAATAATTGTCACCATTGGGTTTTTTTATTTGTATCATGAGCATATAGATTAAAATCCATGCAGAAAATCCTAAATATGAGTTACAGATTGCAAAGTTTTAAGTTGCTCTTTGAAGGCTCCTTTAAACTGTTAACTTCTCTATTTGATTTTTCTATTTTCTTAAGTTTCATTATCCTTCAATGTTTTTCTAATGAATTCCACTAGAAAACAGCATATTTGTAAAAAGAGTCAAAGACAGTTTTATCCATTGGTATATTTTCTGCAGACAGTGACTGCATAAATGTTTGGTAGTTTAAGGAATGCATGGTTCTCAAAAGACGTAGCCCTACAGAAGACTTATATAGACATTTCTCCAAAGAAGGCTTGGCCAACAGGCACATAAAAAGATGCTCAATATCACTAATTATTAGATAAATGCATATCAAAACTGCAGTGAGGTATTACCTCACACTGGTCAGAATGGCCATCGTTAAATAGTCTACAAATAATAAATGCCAAAGAGGGTGTGGAGGAAAAGGAACCTTCCTACATTGTTGGTGGGAATGTAAATTGGTGTAGCCACTATGAAGAACAGTATGGAGGTTCCTTGAAAAACTAAAAATAATTACCATGTGATCCAGCAATCCCATTCCTGGGCATATATTTGGAGAAAACTAATTAGAAAAGATACATGCACCCCAAGGTTCATAGCAGCACTATTTACAATAGCCAAGACATGGAAGCAACCTAAATGTTCATCAACAGATGAATGGATAAAGAAGATGTGGGGGGTGTGTGTGTGTGTGCGTGTATATATATATATGCATATGTATATATATATATACACATATACAAACAATGGAATATTACTTGGCCATAAAAAAGAATGAAATGCTTTTTGCAGCAACATAGATGGACCTAGAGATTATATTAAGTGAAGACAGAGAAAGACAAATATCATACGATATCACTTATTTGTGGAATCTTAAAATATGATACAAATGAACTTATTTACAAAGCAGAAATAGACTCACAGACATAGAAAAACAAACGTGGTTACCACAGGAGATGGTGGGGGGGGAGAGACAAATTAAGAGTTTGGGATTCATATATACACACTACTATATATAAAAGAGGTAAACAACAAGGACCTACTATATAGCATAGGGAAGAAACTCAATATCTTGTAATAACCAATAATGGAAAATAATCTGAAAAAGAATATATATATGTTTTTTAAAAAAGAAATAGCCCTAGATAAAGAAAACACAACATATTTAAAATATTTAAAATGTTGTAAGGAATGGATATATTCTGAAAAAAAATTTTTTAATATTTTAAGATCAGATTGTTGTCACAGCATTTAAAAAATGCAAATAATTATATTGTGTTGAATTTATGGTGAACAGAAGCCATGTTGCGGGAAGGATTAGCCAAATTTTAGCAGTTTCTGAGTATGAAGAGGTATCAAGTCAAGGTTTGTTCAAATACTACTACTTCTGACAAGGATGACTGCATATGATGAGAAACATCCTTCTTTTTTATCAATATTTTTTTAATTGAAGTATAGTTAATTTACAATGTGTTAATTTCTGCTGTACAGCAAAGTGGTTCAGTTATACATATATGTACATTCTTTTTTTATATTCTTTTCCACTATGGTTTATTATAGGATATTGAGTATAGTTCTCTGTGCTATACAGTAGGGCCTTGTTGTTTATCCATTCTATATATAATAGCTTACATCTGCTAACCCCAGCCTCCCACTCCATGCCTCCTCCAACCCTCTACCCCTTGGCAACCACCATTCTGTTCTCTATGTCCATGATTCTGTGAAACTCCCATCTTTTAAACATATCCCACAGGGATTTTTTCCCATTCAAAATTATTATGTTAGTTATTATTTAAAGTAGTTGAAATAAAAATTGCTAATACTGACATGGTCAAATTTCAGCAGAGTAAATTCTACACCATTTAAAAAAATAAAACCTCAGATTAATTTTTAAGAACACTTTAATTTCATGATTATCATTTATGTAAATTGCCTTTAATATTCAAACACACAAATACTTAATAATTTTTCTCCTCATAGAATGGCTATGTAATTACATGAAAGTTATTTAATAAATTAGGAGCAGAAAACTAAAAGTATAGATAAAATGAGAACATATTCATAAAATGTCCTTTACCAGTTGGCAAGAAACTTCCTGAAGATTCCTAAATCTTCCTTAATCCTTTCAATAAGCTGATACCAGATGCTAAAGCTGATGTGAAAATGGGGACCACAGGGACCCTGCTAACTCAGATTATTAAAATTTTATTTAAAATTTCATACCATCTGTTTGTATAACATCTAAAAATGTGAGTTCTTGAAATAACTTGAGGACAATTTGGATTCTACAAAGGAAAACTAACATGAAATAATCCTTAGAACTAAAAATGTCTGCCTAAAATCTCCAAGCAAGATCTGTCAGATCATTTTATCCATATTCCAGATACAAACTAAGACTGGCATTCCAGAATACAGACACCGAGACGTGTGATCACTCAACAGTCATATACTGAGCACCTGTTGTATACCAGGCGCTATTACAGGTTCCTAGAATACAGCAATGAACAGGGAAAATTTCCCACGTGTATTTTAGTTTATATTAGCTAATAGTTAATAACTTAATAGTGAATAACATTAAATTCTGGACTTTCAAGTAGAGATAAGTAGTATGAAGAAAACAAGTTAGGGTCAGAGAATTGGTAGCGACCTGAAGTAGGAAGGATTGTAGTCCTAAGTGACATTGAGCTGAGACTTGTGTGATGTTAAGGATCCAGTCATGTGAAGGGCTGAGAGAAGAGTCTTCCAAACAGAGACAACAGTGAGAACAAGGCTCCGATGCAGGAATGAACTTGGAGCATGTGAAGAAGGGCAAAAAGGACAACGAGGTTGGAACAGAATGAGTCGGGGGAAGAGCGGTAGGAGAGAGGGTCAGGCAAAGGACAAATAAATAGGGTCTGTAGATATGGTTAGAAATTTAATTCTATTTAAATGTGTCTGAGAGTTGTTGTCAGGTTTTGACCAGAAAAGCGATATAATATTTATATTTATGATTTATGTATTTAAAAGATGAGTCAAGCTGTTAGAGTGGGGGTAAGAGCAAGCAGTTTGGTAGTTATATTAGTCTAGGGAATAGGTGACAGGGCTTTCAAAATCCTACGCTATTTTGAAGTGTTGAATCAGCAGGACTTGCTGATGGATATATGCGGTGTAAGAGAAAAGGGAAAAGAGATGTTTTATCTAATTCAGATGAATTTGTTTTGCTTTCATACTAGTTCTCGTTGTCATGGAGATAAAGGCTAAACTTCAGTGGTGTAGAATCTCGACTGATGTCTTTCATGTACTTTACCAAATCTGAATTCTAACTATATTATGTCCTTTGTAACCAATGCCATAATTCTGAACATTTTTTTTTTCAGTGCTATAAAATGTCTCCAATTATCTTTGGTGATAGAACAGTTTCTCAAAATTAAATTTTTTTATGTCATATTAATCTGGGGTTATTTTGCTGTACTTGTAGGCTGAAAAATATCATGAAATCAGGCAAAGAATGCCAAAGTGTGCCTCTGTAAAAATTTTTAAATTATTTCTTTAATCTTTTTCTCTACTTCCCAATCTCTTTTGACATAAATTGTATTAATAGTAATTTAAAATGATAAGTATATTCAGTTTCAAATGCATTTCAGATAAGTCATAAAGTCTCAATTATACCTAAAAATAACACTGAAAAATACAGTGGATGAGTTTTGTGCTATAACTAAAATAGAGCATTATGGTCTTTGTGGGATGTATTCAACTGTGCTGTGAGAATTTCTGTCTAGATGTGAAATTCTATCCAGATGTGTTCACGGAGCTCCATGAAGCCTTTGCCAGCTGAGTGGTGATAATTTTAGTCTTTCTCAGTCATACGAGTAAATCAGAGATTAAACATTTCACATTATTCAACAGGAATCTAGGCTCCTTTATATGGCACTAATTAACATTTTATGGAGCAGTATGAGTTCTGTCACAGACTAACTCTCCTGTGAGTGAGAAACTTGAGACTAAAATGCAATCTTCCTGATTGGCACTAAAATATTAATAGCTGTGCCTTAAATAATTAGTAAGAAATTTTGTTCATGTCTTAAGAAGGAAACCTTACAAAAACAGCCCCTTCCTGATAATCACTTGAAGCCCTAAACACTTTCAAAATCACCCTTACCATATCAATGTGTGACAACACCAAGTCCTCAAAAGAAAAAGAAGGTGTGGATATGACTATGGGAAATACGGATGCTTTTGGTTAAAATGTAGGTTTCAAGTTGAACGTGTTTCTTTTACCCTTTTATTTTCCTCACTGATGACTGTTTCTTCCAGAACACTAAAGAGGAGTAATGCATGTTCTTCTTGGTTCACGTAGACTGTAAGGTTGATTCAGGGTGTTGCAACTTTTGGACTCATATCTCACCCAACCTTTTGACTGAGAGGAGGATGCTATGAAATCATTAGGTGCATTGAAAATGGAACCATTTCACACTCACGTTCACCCAAAGCACCCCACTGCAAACATCTTTTAGTGACTTTGCTGAGGAGCTGAGTGGAACCCCCTGCTGACTGTTGGAGAGAGAAGCGCCTCTTGTTTTTATTTCTTAATGAGGTATTCCCAAATGAAGGGATTTTCCATGAAGGGGTTTCCCTAACTCACATAAGTCTGTCAGTCCCATTTCAAAAGAAAAACAAAAACAAATGGTTGGTGGTTCTGCTGAATCAAGCAATGATGCTGTGTGAACGTACTAACGGTCCCGGCGGACTCCGTGGCGAGGGCGCGCTCATGCTTGTGAATTCTGGGCCAAAGAGAGAGCAGGTTGTTCCCAGCACTGATGAGCTGTGTGTCCAAGAAAGAAGCTGCACCAGCCCTTCGTGGTGGACCCAGCCTCCTGCCCACCTAACAAAGCCGCCTGACTTGGGGCTTGGGAGAAGCTCCTTGTCCAGACACGCTGCTCATCCCGGCCAGCAGAGAGGAGGCTGTTCAGGGACAAGTTGGGGAGAGCTTGGCTCTAACGCTGGCTGGGGAGAACTAAGGGGGAAAAAGCCCTATTTTATTCTTTTAATACAGTTCCCAGCAGGAAGATCAGGATAGGAGGTTCCCGCCTGCTCCAGATTAAAGGAACCCGCAGTTTCCAAGTGAAGAAGGGGGGTTCCTTGTCCAGCATTCGCCGGGTCGGCAGCTTAAAGAGCAGCAAGTTATCACGGCAGGACTCAGAGTCTGAGGCTGAGAAGCTGCAGCTGTCCCAGAGCAGGGACACTGTCACTGACCTAGGTAACATAGAGGAGTGGGCTGTGCAGGGACGTGGGGGGTAGGAAGACAGAGACTGAATCCCCAAACAGCTCAAGTCCATTTTCTGATACGTCAGTAGATGGAGGGCAGAGTCATAGGTTAGAGTACTCGTTTAGTCCATAAGCTATGTTGCCCTCCAGAGCAGGGCTGCTCCAGCCTTATTGTGCACAGGGTCAGCTGGGAGCTTGTTAAAACGCAGATCCTGATTCAGCATCTCTGGGATGGGAGCCTGAGATTCTACGCTTTTAACAAGCTTCCTGGTAAAGTTGATGCTGCTGGTTCAAGGACCACAGCTTGAGCAGGGAGCATATGGAGTCTACAGTAGGGAAAGAAAATATTTTAATGACAAGGACAGTGTTTTGAAATCTAGATCTTTGTGCCTTTATTCTTCTGGTCAAGACCTTTAAAGCAAAATGTAGATATCCCCTTGGGAATAGCTGGCTTAAAGTCTTCTGTAAACTAAAGTCTCTATTTCCCAGTAAAAACAACCAAAATTTCAGAAAGGAAAGATTGTCTACATCTAACAATTAGTGACCTTCAGCGAGTCACTTAACTTCTCAGGGATTTGTTTTCCCCAGCTACCCAGTGAGAATAATTCTGTGTACTCCTTGCCTACTGTGAAAGGATGCTCTAAAGATAAATTAGGGATGATAGTAAAGTATGTTAAACTCCTAAGAATAAGCTTTATATACAATCAGAGCTGTAGATTGTCACTCTAGGACCCAAAGAGACTCTGAATCCCAAAGTGTGTTAGTCCTATGGGCTCTCACCATCCTCTTAGTAGACAAGAAAAAGATTAAGCAGGCTTGCCGATAGGACTCACCAGCTGCCTAGAATTTAAATGTTAGGTTAGAAATTGAAGTGCATATTCTTTGCCTTTCAGTCGCTGTATGAAAACCAAAGTGTAAAACTCTTCTTTCTAAGTAAGTTGTTTCAGAAGTCAGTCAGGAAATGTGGATAAATTATCAATCTAGCCTGCTGAAACAGAAGCTGAGTATATTTAATCAAGGAGAGTTTAAAATAGAAAATGTTTCTACACCTACCCACCCTTGCCTTTGAAAATAGCTAATTTATGCGTTAGTTAAGATTCAGCTTATTTTTTTAAGGAGACAATAGAAAAAACCTTACGACATCTTTTGTTACAGGCCTGAGCTGTAAGAGTATCATCAGTTAGTTTTGGGGAAAATATTATTTGAATTAATTATTTAAATTGATCAACGTAGCCTAGCCAGTTAAGTCAAACTATCCAAGCTAGAAGCATAGTTTTGTCATAGAAAATACCCAGAAAAGCTTGTAGATTTGAGGACAAAGCTTTGTTATCTAGTATACTAAGTAGAGAATTCCTGTGACATGTCTCCTTCACAGTTTCCTACAGAGACGAGTTTGGACAAAGGGTTGTCCACAGTTGGGCACAGTTACTTCCAAATTCCCTTAGTCTTTCCAAGGCACCGCCCATCTTTGAAATAGCTCTGATAGCAAAGCCAGGTGGTGTTAAGAGTAGTAGCACTAGCCGTAGTCACAGCAGCAGTGGAGGTAGCAGCACCCTTTGTGGCCACTGCAGGTTGGTTGGTGTCCCTACTTAACTACACCTGCGAGGTCTGGGCAGTCTGGCATGGATTTGGGCACACTCAACCAATAACTTGCTCATCTCAGCAATTCAAGGACTTGACTCTGTTCTTTTTCTCTGCTCCCATATCTCAAAATGGAAGCCACCATAACAGAGATCATAAATGTCTTTGTAATTGCCAGTTCAGCTGGTGGTGAAGGGAACAGCTCCTGTTAATATTACTCCACTAAAGCCGATGCTATGCCCCGTAACCCATTGGCCATGGTAGTCTGCCCTAGGATTCAAAAGCATGGACCACTATACCATAGCAACATGCTCTCCAGGGAGACAGAACAATATAACCTTTCTTGGTATTTTTCTTTTGAAGAAGGGAGTCCTTGGAGTGCAAGTGAGCCCAGCATTGAGCCAGAGGGAATGAGTACAGCCAGCACGGAGGAAAATTACCACAGGAACATGTCATGGCTTCATGTAAGTAGGAATCTCAGAAAGAGCGCTGAGATCAATTTCTTTTGGCATTGGGGAAGATCTGTGGAGGTAGGAATAAAGACTGTACTAAAAACATCCATCATTTCGGCCTATTAGAAAAATTATAGGCTTTTATTTCAGCTGAACCTCTGGATACTCACTAAGATTGGTCTTCTGCTGGATTATATTCATTTGAAGCTTATCTAAGACCAAGGGTGCTTTGTTATAGTTGGCTTGTGAGTCAGTATAAGTCAGGGAAAAAAACCCTGAGGGATCAGGCCAGGTTGGTGGTCAAGAGAGACTGAGTGACACAAGGCAAGGCATCACGATAGTTTTATACAGGTCACCACAAATGCTGAGAGCAAGGTCATGGTGTCAGTCTTGAGTCTGTATTAGATCAAGTTGTAAACTAGGACACGGAGATTCTAAGATGATGAAGGTCACACCTCAAAGGGCTCTCCAGAGGGCACAGGCAGGAGGGAATCCCAAGCACAGATTACAGTTCAAGGTTTGACCTGGGTGTAAAGAAAGGAAAAGAAAGGTCGGGAAGCATGATGTGAGATCCACAGTTGGCAGGGTACTGCCAGCACTATTATTATTATCATTTTTTAACATCTTTATTGGAGTATGATCGCTTTACAATGATGTGTTAGTTTCTGCTTTATAACAAAGCAAATCAGCTATACATATGCATATATCCCCATACCTCCTCCCTCTTGCATTTCCCTCCCACCCTCCCTATCCCACCCCTCTAGGTGGTCACAAAGCACCGAGCTGATCTCCCTGTGCTATGAGGCTGCTTCCGACTAGCTATCTATTTTACATTTAGTAGTGTATATATGTCCATGCCACTCTCTCACTTCATACCAGTTTACACTTCCCCCCACCCTGTGACCTCAAGTCCATTCTCTACGTCTGCGTATTTATTCCTATCCTGCCCTTAGGTTCTTCAGAACTTTTTTTTTTTTTTAGATTCTATATATATGTGTTAACATACGGTATTTGTTTTTCTCTTTCTGACTTACTTCACTCTGTATGATAGACTCCAGGTCCATCCACCTCACTACAAATAACTCAATTTCGTTTCTTTTTATGGCTGAGTACTATTCCATTGTATATATGTGCCACATCTTCTTTCTCCATTCATCTGTTGATGGACACTTAGGATGCTTCCATGTCCTGGTTATTGTAAATAGAGCTGCAATGAACACTGTCGTACATGACTCTTTTGGAATTATGGTTTTCTCAGGATATATGCCCCGTAGTGGCATTGCTGGGTCCTATGGTAGTTCTATTTTTAGTTGTTTAAGGAAGCTCCATATTGTTCTCTATACTGGTTGTATCAATTTACATTCCCACCAACAGTGCAAGAGGGTTCCCTTTTCTCCACACCGTCTCCAACATTTATTGTTTCTAGATTTTTTGATGATGGCCATTCTGACTGGTGTGAGGTGATACCTCATTGTAGTTTTGATTTGCATTTCTCTAATGATTAATGATGTTGAGCATCCTTTCGTATGTTTGTTGGCAATCTGTATATTTTCTTTGGAGAAATGTCTATTTAGGTCTTCTGCCCATTTTTGGATTGGGATGTTTGGTTTTTTGATATTGAGCTGCATGAGCTGCCTGTAAGTTTTGGAGATTAATCCTTTGTCAGTTGCTTCATTTGCAAATATTTTCTCCCATTCTGAGGGTTGTCTTTTCGTCTTGTTTATGGTTTCCTTTACTGTGCAAAAGCTTTTAAGTTTCATGAGGTCCCATTTGTTTATTTTTGTTTTTATTTCCATTTCTCTAGGAGGTGGGTCAAAAAGGATCTTGCTGTGATTTATGTCATAGAGTATTCTGCCTATCTTTTCCTCTAAGAGTTTGATAGTGTCTGGCCTTACATTTAGGTCTTTAATCCATTTTGAGTTTATTTTTGTGTATGGTGTTAGGGAGTGTTCTAATTTCATTCTTTTACATGTAGCTGTCCAGTTTTCCCAGCACCACTTATTGAAGAGGCCAGCACTATTATTGATCTTAGATATGGAATGTCTCCATCTCCTCTGATTTTAATCTGACTTCCTGGTAGGGTCAGATAAAGGGCTGGCTGGTACCTCACGCTCAGTGTTTACAGTGCTATGCCCTTGGAACTGGTTAATCTCCAGAACTGGCTGATTTTGAGAATCTCTGAGGCAGCTATATTTAAAGTAAACTTTTTAGTGAAGTCCAACCTACATATTAAAAAGCATACAAAATCTTTGTGTACTGCTCAATAAACTTTCACAAAATGGACACATCTGTGTAACCACCACCAGTTCAAGAAGAACATTAGCAGTACCTTAGAAGCCCTACCCGGGCCCTCGACCAGCCACTACTCTCCCCTATTGGTCACTGCCATTCTAACTTCTAAAACCAAAAATTATTTTGTCTGTTTTTGAAATGCATATAATTGGTGACATATGCTGGATACTCTATTGTGTCTGATTTCTTTTTTTCACATAAGTGTAAATCCTCCAGCTTTGTTCTTCTGCAGGGTGGCCTGTTCTATTCTTGGCTATATTCATTTCTATTAGAATCACCTTGTTAATTTCCATAAGAAAGCTTCCACAGCAGCCTTACTTTGAATACAAAGATCATTAAAACTGAGGAATTAAAATCTTTAATAAGTCTTCTAATGTATAAAATGGTCTATCCTCCATTAATTTGTGTTCCATCATTCATTTAGGATCTCTTCAATTTTATTCAATAATGCTTTTTAGTTTTGTGTACCGTTAACCCTCTGGAAGTGTTTGTGTAAGACCAGAGTTATTTATTCTTTAAATATTTAGAAGGGGTCACTGGTAGAACCTTCTAGATCTAAAAATTTCTTTGTAGTAAAATTATTAATTACAGATTTAATTTATGTAATATAATTAAGATTTCTCCAGGGAGCAGATTGGGCAAATTGATTTTTTTTCCTAGGAATTTGTTAATTTAATCCAAATATTCACATTTATTAACAAAAAGATGTTTATAATATTCTCTTTTTTTAATTTATTGAAGTATAGCTGATTTACAATGTTGTGTTAATTTCTACTCTACAGCAGTGATTCAGTCATACATATATACATATATTTTCTTTTTCATATTCTTTTTCATCATGGTTTATCACAGGATATTGACTATAGTTCCCTGTGCTATACAGTAGAACCTTGTTGTTTATCTATTCTATTTATAATAGTTTGCATCTGTTAATCCCAAACTCCCAGTCCATCCCTCCCCCACATCCCCTATTCTTTGGCAATGACAAGTCTGTTCTCTATGTCTGTGAGTCTGTTTCTGTTTCGTAGATAAGTTCATTTGTGTCATGTTTTAGATTCCACATATAAGTGATATCATGTGGTATTTGTCTTTCTCTGTCTGGCTTACTTCACTTAGTATGAAAATCTTGAGGCCCATCTATGTTGCTGCAAGTGGCATTATTTCATTCTTTTTATGGCTGAGCAATATTCCATTGTGTGTATATATATATGTATGTATGTATGTGTATATATATATATACCACATCTTTATCCGTTCATCTGTCAGTGGACATTTAGGTTGTTCCCATGTCTTAGCTATTGTAAATAGTGCTGCTATGAACACTGAGGTGCCTGAATCTTTTTTTTTTTTTTTTTGGCGGTATGCGGGCCTCTCACTGTTGTGGCCTCTCCCATTGCGGAGCACAGGCTCCGGACGCGCAGGCTCAGCGGCCATGGCTCACGGGCATAGCCGCTCTGCGGCGTGTGGGATCTTCCCAGACCGTGCAACTTAGGTTGCTTCCATGTCCTGGCTACTGTAAATAGTGCTGCAATGAACATTGGGATAGATGTCTCTTTTTGAATTATGGTTTTCTCAGGGTATATGCTCAGTAGTGGGATTGCTGGGTCATATGGTAGTTCTATTTTTAGTTTTTTAAGGAACCTCCATACTGTTTTCCATAGTGGTTGTATCAATTTACATTCTTCCCAACAGTGCAGGAGGGTTCCCTTTTCACCACATCCTTTCCAGTGTTTATTGTTTCTAGATTTTTTCATAATAGCCATTCTGACCACTGTGAGGTGATACCTCATTGTAGTTTTGATTTGCATTTCTCTAATGATCAGTGATGTTGAGCATCTTTTCATGTACTTCTAGCCCATCTGTATATCTTCCTTGGTGAAATGTCTATTTAGCTCTTCTGCCCATTTTTTAATTGGATTGTTTGCTTTTTTGATATTGAGCTCCATGAGCTGTTTGTATATTTTGGAGATTAATCCTTTGTTCTTTCGTTTGCAAATATTTTCTCCCATTCTGAGGGTTGTCTTTTTGTCATGTTTTAGGGTTTCCTTTGCTGTGCAAAATCTTTTAAGTTTAATTAAGTCCCATTTCTTTATTTTTGTTTTTATTTCCGTTACTCTAGGAGGTGGGACTAAAGAGATCTTGCTGTGATTTATGTCAAAGAGTGTTTTTCCTCTAAGAGTTTGATAGTGTCTGGTCTTACATTTAGGTCTTTAATCCGTTTTGAGTTTATTTTTGTGTTTGGTGTTAGTGTTCTAATTTCATTCTTTTACATGTATCTGTCCAGTTTTCCCAGCACCACTTATTGAAGAGGCTGTCCTTTCTCCACAGTATGTTCTTGCCTCCTTTGTCGTAAATTAGATGACCATATGTGTGTGGGTTTATCTCTGGGCATTCTATCCTGTACCATTGATCTATATTTCTGTTTGTGTGCCAGTACCATACTGTCTTGATTACTGTAGCTTTGTGGTATAGTTTGAAGTCAGGGAGCCTGATTCTTCCAACTCCATTTTTCTTTCTCAAGGTTGCTTTGGCTATTCGGGATCTTTTGTGTTTCCATACGAATTGTAAAATTTTTTGTTCTATTTCTGTGAAGAATGCCATTGGTAGTTTGATAGGTATTGCCTTGAATCTGTAGATTGCTTTGGGTAGTATAATCATTTTCACAATACTGGTTCTTCCAATACAAGAACATGGTATGTTTCTCCATCTGTTTATGTCAT